TCTTCCCAAGGATCTCACAGATGCATCCACATTCACTAATTAGAATTGAATATATCTTCCCCAAGGAAAAGTGTCAGCAGCAGGGTGCTTTTAATTTACATGTGCAGGTTGCTTTCTCCCATACTGTCAGCAACAGAGCTGGTACCTGGTGATATTGTAGAAGTTAGTGGTAAGTATTCCCATGTGCTACTATTGCAAATACAGAAAGGTCACACACTTCTATCATTATTAAACAGAATGCAATGGAACATATTTCCGCTAGATTGCTATTCCTTTTTTTTTTCCTTCGAATGATTTAAGTTTCTCTTCTTGCTTATTTTACTCTTATAGTGGGTTGCAAAATTCCCGCCGACATGAGAATGATTGAGATGTTGAGCAATCAGTTACGTGTCGATCAGGCAATTCTGACAGGTATCCCTTCTCTATGTTGAACTTTGTAAACTGACTGAACGCATGCTTGGCATATAAGAATATTTATCATGTTTCTTCATAGGTGGTATATCAGAATGCAATTGAAGAGTCTAGGTCTGCAAAGATGCATGTTTTACATTGCGTAATTTTTTATCTTTTTTTTAACATATGTATGGATATGTCTCACTAATATATTTATTCATGTATGTTACTTTGGGATGCTTGCATTGAAATGTTCATATTTTCTGATCTATTTGGTGAGTGAGTGCCATTTTATCATTTACGTTGTTGCTTTTCACTTAATATTTTGTTTGTTTCTGATAATGCAGGTGAGAGTTGTTCTGTGGAAAAAGAGCTCGAGTGTACTGTAGCAACAAATGCTGTGTACCAAGACAAGACAAATATTCTTTTCTCGGTAAGAGGTCTAAAACTTTGTGGCATCATATATTCTATAGTTGTACAGCTTACTTGAGCCTTGAAGAAATTAGAATTTAGTGCTTCATTGATGTTAAAATAAATAGCTATCTCACTAATTATTCTAAAGTGGATAAGTGTTTAGCTTAGGCTAACGATAATTGATTTTTCAGTCACAAAACCAGATAGCCTTTAACCTTTTCATTTATGGAGTTTCTTCAATCTCATCATGTTCTGCAACACTGAACACGTTTCATCAATTTTTGATTGCCAGGGAACTGTGGTGGTTGCAGGTAGGGCAAGAGCTGTTGTTATTGGAGTTGGTTCTAACACTGCCATGGGAAGTATACGTGATTCTATGTTGCGAGCAGATGATGTAAGTGCTGTTGATTCTCATTTCTGAATCTCTTGTTCCCCTGCTCTTGGATCAAATTGTTTTCAATCCTTATCCTGAATTCTATTTTATTATTAAATTATCTTCTAGAAATTGGCCTAAAAAGTTGCTTTATTGGGATAAAAAAACTTGTTTAAAAAGTTTTATTCCAAATGTATGTGGATTTAACCCAATTTCTATGTGATTGTGGTCTCCCAGGAATAGTGTATATATAGTGATGCAGGGTCTTGTCCATGAAAATTTTCTGTTATTGGTTTGGAGGGGATCCCTGTATCTATGTTACGTGTGAATTTAAAAAAGTCGTGATGGAATGGGGGAAAATTTCAATTGAATTGTGGTCTTGCACGTGTTAGTGGCAGTTATGCATTCTTATTTTTGAATCTACAACTGTTGCAGGAAGTGACACCCTTGAAAAGGAAGCTGGACGAGTTTGGTACGTTCTTGGCAAAGGTGGTTTCATATTCTGCCTTGGTTCTCCAGTCTTACATATTAAGAAAAGTATTGAATTTGTCATTCTTACTTTGTTTTTTGAAATAAAAAGTGTAAAGTAACAAAGTACCAAGGAGGTACCGTTCATTTATAAAAAATTTACAAGTGTGTTGGGATGTCAGTGATATTCCTAAAATCTTCATCCCTAA